TTTCAAGATTCAAGATTCAAGATTTTTTTTTGTCACATACATGGTTATATAGAGAATATATGACCAGCAGTGAAATGTAAGTCAGGTCCGCTCCATGGACAGTGCAATTATTAAAGAATACAAACTTATATTGTATAAATTATATATAAATATAGGTATGGGAAAAGTAAGAAAATAAGAATAAAATAAAATGTGCAGGACAGTATACTGTAGACTTAATAAATATTAAGATGAGCAGGAATGTACAAGAGAAGAATGTGCAAACAGGTTGTACAGGGTAGTTACATAGCAGCAATAGAGTTAAAAAAGTAAATAAATAAAATATTACAGAAATTGCTGTGTGCAAGGTGCAATGTCAGTATATTAAGTGTCTTACTGATAATTAAGTGAAGTCATGTTGGTGTTAAGAGACTGAGTTTGAGTTTAGGAGCCTGATGGCCTGGGGGAAGAAGCTCCTCCTAAGTCTCTCGGTTTTTGCCATCAGGCTACGGAAGCGCTTACCAGATGGCAGCAAAATGAAAAGACAGTTACCAGGGTGGTTGGAGTCCTTGATGATTTTAGCAGCTCTGCTTTTGCAGCGTTTGAGGTAGATGTCCTGTAGAGAGGGGAGGGCAGACCCTGAGATGCGCTCAGCTAAGTGCACTACTCTCTGCAGGGCTTTGCAGTCTTGACTGGAGCTGTTCCCATACCACACTGAGATACACTGAGTCAATACACTTTCTATGGCCCCTGAATAGAAAGTTTTCAGGATTGCTGGCGAAACCCTGAATTTTCATTAGCGTTACACAACGACAAGGAACCCCCAGCAACAGGCCTTGAGACAGGAACCAAGGTTTCTTCCACATGTCTAAGGCACGTAAGCATCGATTTTCTCAGCTGTCGCAGATGGTACAGTCTTTGCCTGGCTTTATTAACCTGAGTTTGGATGTGTGAAGTCCAAGTCAGGTCCTCGGAGATGTTTCCACCAAGGTACTTGAAGCTGCTCACCCTCTCCACTGGGGAGATATTCCTATACTCCTCTTATGATCCCACTGATCATAAGAGGAGTATAGGGCCACTGCTGTCTCTTCCTGAAGTCCACAATCAGCTCTTTAGTTTTACTCACATTCATAGAAAGACAATTGTCCTGGCACCATGATGTGAGTTTCTCTACCTCATCCAAGTATGCGGCCTCATTGTTGTTGGAAATGAGGCCCAGAACCACAGTATCATCAGCAAATTTGATAATAGATGTGGAGCTGTGGGAAGACACGCAGTCATGTGTGTAGAGAGAGTAGAGCAGAGGACTCAGGACACAGCCCTGTGGAGCTCCCACGTTCAGGGTGATGGAGTTGGAGGTGAACTGTAGAACAACTGGAGTTGTTTCAGCCACTGCTGTTACCTATTGGTTATTTGGGGCATTTGGAGAGTTTCCTTTTTTCTCAACAAATATTGATATAGAATTATTTGCGACTAATTATTTAATGAGCAAATCATGCAATTATTTTGATTAAAAAATATTAATTGATAGTCCTAATTCTTACTCAATATTTAATTGTAATACGACTTATCCACTCCCTGGTAAGAGCATCACTAAAGTTATAACTGAAGCTGAAATGTGTGTGCTTGATGCATTAAAACAAACTCGTTGCATTTTTGAGCTTCTGTTTTCCATATTTACAGTATTTATCGATTGCTAACACACTATAACTGATTCATTTGGCACAATTTTCCAAACCATTCATACAGTTCTCGAAACAAAGACACATTTCTCAAAACTTTTAACACATTTCACCTGTTTTCACACACGTTCCAATTTGCTCAGTGTTTTCTGTAAAACTCTATACAAGAACAGCATCTTTTTGCACAGGTTTAACCATGTTCTCATTTAGAAAACACAAACTCACAATATAACTACCTCAAGAATCACAAAATGAACACAAATAGCACACATTTATCCAAGTGTAATCATTAAGTAGTGGAGCGACCTGGACGGCATCCGAACTCAGCGGCGCCATCGTGGAAGTTTTGACAGTGAGTGACTGGCCTTCCCTCACTCTCCTCACGGCTGTGAGAATCACTTTGATACGAGCAGGAGACAACTATGCCTGCATCGTTGTCGAATCCCACACCACGCCCAGATAAGTGGTTCTCTGTAGCGGAGAAAGCACACTTTTCTTGACGTTTAGCTGTAACCCCAGCTCTTTCATATAGGTGAGGACGACATCTCGATGCCAAGCCGCCATCTGCTCTGACTGAGCTAATATCAACCAATTGTCGATGTAATTGAGTATGTGGATGCCCTGGAGTCGCAACGGAGCCAGGGCAGCATCTATGCACTTCGTGAAAGACAGGCCAAACGGAAAAACCAGATACTGGTATGCTTCGCCCCCGAAAGCAAACCTCAGGAACTTCCTGTGTTGAGAAAGGATGGATACATGGAAGTATGCGTCCTTGAGATCTATCGTGACAAACCAGTTCAACACAACAACACGTTCTATGGCCTCCTTCCTCAAGAGAGTTCCTACTTCTTGTTCCAATACCAGAGCCTGCTCAGGGCCCACTAATGTAGGAATAACCCCATTGAAGCGAGGTGGACGAGAACCGAACTGAATTCTGTAACCTCTCTCTACAGTGTGCAGGACCCATTGTGAGACATTTGGCAGAAGCTTCCACGCTGTCAGAAAGTCTACTAAGGGAACCAGTCTCTCGAGACTGGCCTCTGGTGTCACTAGAGGAGCCACTTCGGTGCCCTGAAGTGGTTGACCAGAAGGGAATGACCGACCTGACTGCTCTAGCACCCTCATCTGAGGGGGCCAGCTTTCCAGTGCCATACCATCGCCGGGCGACAGCTGGGAAATTTGCTCGTGGGAGCCCACTGAGCCCTGAAGCACTGGGGGTGGCAGGGGTATCAGTGAAGCTCCCTGAGGGCACTGAGGAGGATCGGGCACCATATACTGAGGTGTGTACCTCTCCTCCCCAGGGTGGGCTGCCCTCAGGGTCCTGACGGTGGAATTGTCAGGACCGCTTGGCCGAGGTCGTCTTGGACATAATAATGGTCCGCAGATCCGTTTTCTATTCAGTGGACCCCGACCGACCCACCCACTGATCTTTCTGCGCGGGGTGGGGTACGGGTCACGACACTTTGCTTGCGTGCATGCTCCGCTCCCAAACAGACGACGCACAAATCGACACTTTGCTTGCGTGCATGCTCCGCTCCCAAAAAGACAACGCACAAATCGTGTGTATCCCCACCCGTGGGATAGCGTGAGCAGGGAGGAACACACGACTTGAAACGCCATCCGTTCGCCACAGATTTTCTTTTACACTTAGGCATTTTGAACTCGCTTTCTATACAGAGTAATTCCTGACTGACTGAATGCTTTTTGCATACACAGACACACATACACAGACGCGCTCACTGAAGAGCAGAAGCTAACATGTGCGTTTGCCGGATGCGCCTTTATGCTTCCTGGTTGCTCACGTCACCCCGCTCGTGACGTCTCGCTTTTCTATTGGACTGATTTCACACATGCTTCAGTATGGGGACTCGCCGGGGCCGTTCCCAAAGTGTTCGACGCAGCTCAAGTTCCTGAAGGGGAACAGTATACACTGGGTAATAGACATCCATATTATTGGTTTGTATGGACCCATAGAATGTAGTATATTGATGTTAAAATCTTGAGTATAGTTGCAAACTTTGTTTTTTTGTTATGCTTAATCAAAAGCAGTGATACTATGTAAAAAATGGCTTTGTAGAAACAGTCTTACTGACCAGATGAGAGTGAGTTTCTCCTGCAGAGATTTGTTTTCTCTTAAGGTTTTATCCTCCTCCTATCTACTGTATACCATGTTAGGAACTGTCAAGGCTCTGATCTATTGTAGAGCTCTTTTGAAACGGTATTGTGAAGAGTGCTACAGAAATACCTGTACCTTGAATTGAACTATACAGTAGTTTTCATTTGCACACTTTGTGATTTTAACGTTGGTTTAGTCTCGCACAGCCAACAATGAACACATTCCTAATCATATTCCACATTAGCTTGTCATTGCAGTATAACGGTGCCCTTAACCTCCCTTAGAACTTAAAAAAAAATCCATTATTTCATAGTGCATGGTGTGTGTGTGTATCTGCAGGCATATGTGTGCATACATCCATGCAAGTGTGTGTGTGTGTGAATGCACCAAGACTGCTTTGTTTTCCAATTCTCCGCAGGTAAATAAATATTCCCTGTGTGCATTGTAGAGGAGCCGTAACCATAGAAATGGATATTTGATTTATTCCAGAAAGAGCCAAGCTCTTTGGCTTGAGTGCTTGCAAACAATATGTTTGGGTGGAAAGCCGGCACCCAGCAACAGCACAGCATCACAGATGTCTTCTCAAAATCACATGACTCATTCTAGCCCTGGCAGACCTCTAAGTGTCCTGTCCGTTCCCTGGCCACATGGGCGAGTGTCGTTCCTCAACCTGTATGGGTCGCTAATGCCAGCAATGTTGCTGTTCATTTCTGACTCTTTTGTATAAATTATAAATATATAAATAGGTATTTTCTAGGTTTTTATTGTTGTTGTTGTATTTAGAGTAGACCTGTTGAAGAGTCTGTTAAAATAAGATATTCTAAAGAATAGTACTATTCTAAAGAATAGTATTTTCTATTCAAGTCTAACACTGTCAGAGAGACAGACCCTCATACACCCTACCATAAACTTGTTTTTGTTAAACTTAGCCAATGTGTTCTCTACTAACCATGTGTTTCTGTGTGTGCTTCTTTCCCCAGTGTCTGTACGGCTGTTACGTCCACTCCTCCATCATCCCCACCTTCCACCGCAGGTGCTACTGGCTTTTACAGGTAAGACTGCCAGAAACTTGGACACCTGTTAGGAACTCAGTTACCTATTGTTATTTTTCTGAAGCCATCATATATTTTCTTCTTCCCCTCTTCGTTTGGAGCTAAGCAGCACACCTTCAAGTGTAATTCAGCTGTAATGGAGACAGGCAGGGAGATTAAACGTAGCCCCTCAGCCCACTGGAGCCTGAGCTCACCGACTGATCAAAGCTAACCTCGAAACTACAGCCCAGCACAGGGAGAGGTCTAGGGAGGAATCGCATGCAGATGAAGCCTTTAAAAGAGCACAGAAGATAGATATTCATGCTTTTAGGACATATACTAGGGATGGACTCAGAAGTGACAGCAACCATCAATCATGAAACACAACAGTTGCACAACTTTTTTTCAAACTAAAAACATTTCACTCTGATCAGAAAGCAATTTGATTCAATAAACTGGATTAGTATTACATTTTTTATTAAAAAGCAAGCACAAATCACTAGCCGAAAATGTCAAACCCTAAATTTAAACGATTTGACTTAGCAGTCACTAATTAAAGTTAAAAACACTGTTTTCTAGGGGTTACTGTGGTACAAAATGCTCTTAATTGGAAGAACATTAATGATTCGGCAGCATCTTATTACTGGCTTTGAAAAGAGGAAAGTAAAAGCTTGTGAAGCAACATTTCCATTTTCTCAGAAATATTATTCTCAGTCTCTCCCCGTGTTTTCTCAGTATCCTCTGAGCTGACTCATGTTCTGCTTCACTGCTGCTTCAGGTGATCAGAGTCTGTGTCCAGGATAGAGCAGGTTGTTCCAGCATGACTTTGTCTTACACATATGGTATCAGTCTCCGGGGCTTGGCAGCACCCTCACTGTGTCCCAGTAGTCTCAGCTTCAGACGGACCGCCCAGTGTCCGCTCGCTGACTGGATGATACATATTGCATAAAAATCTAATCGGTTTTGCCAGGCTTGTCATCAAAAAAAAGATATTTCGAGTTTTGTTTGAGCTGCTGCTTTATTTAGTAAGTTCACTATGAGCTGAACTGTACTGTATGTCCACTGCACATCCATTTTTCCAAATTGCATGACTGATCAAAACTTTGGGTCAGTCTTTTTATTATTATTATTACTTTTATTCAGCAAGGCCACATTAAATTGATCAAAAGTGACCGTAAAGGCAAGTAAAAAAAATCTATTTCAAATAAATGTTGTTCTTTTGAACTTTCTATTTATCAAAGAAACACAAAAATATAAATTTGAACAGCTGTTTATAGTTTCTTAAAAATAAAGTTTCTTGAGCACCGAATCAGCATGTTCGAAATATTTCTGAAGGATCATGTGACACTGAATACTGCTGAAAATTCAGCTTTGCCATCACAGGAATAAATTACATTTTAAAATATGTATGTTCAAATAGAAAAGTTGTTTTAAATTTAAAATGTTTCACAATATTACTGTTTTTGATCAAATAAATGCATCCTTGGTGAGCATATAGGTAATTATTGCAAAAACATTTTTAAAAATCTTACCAACCCCAAACTTTTGAGCATAAGTGTAAATATGAAACAAACTCATGGTGATCATTTTACATGTGAGTGGGCCTCTATTCTGGCACCTAAGCCAGATTTAGATGCTAATGTGGACCAGACCTTTTGTTTTTTGTTTTTGTCAGAATTCTGTCTATGCAACACTTTCATCCCAGAGTGCAGATTCACACTATTATTACACTATTTATACGCCACACGCACCAAGTTGCATGGCCACTAAAAACGCACATAACCCAATCCATGCACAGTCAAGCCTCAAACGATGACACAAAACTACATTTTCAGGGAATGTGATCACAGAGAGAGAGCGAAAGAAGAGGGAAGCGTACAGAGAGCAAAGAGACTGCAAGTGTGGCTGTCTTTTTATCCAGTCCAGATCTTCTTTATTGAGAAAAGTCTCAGTAATAAGACAGGGGAGGAGAGGAGGTAATGAGAAAAGAAGCCTATGAGGAATCTCGGCACTCCTTCCCTCTAAAACACTTTTCCCTCAGATAGTGCCTCATTCTTCCAGGCATGTCTCGGTGGTATTGCGCAGCTCTGCTCTTCTCGCTCTGCATAACGGCAGAGATCTGCTGAGGGGACGTATTATCGCCAATTTTCCCAGAATGCTTTGCACCTCGTTGGCCCTTCTGAAAAGTTCTCACTCACGCAGAATAGACTGTCTGGGAGAGGGAATGACTCTTTGGAGATTTGAGGTGTTAAGGGCATATTATCTCTCTCTCTCTCTCTCTCTCTCACACACACACACACACTCCCTCTGTGACTGTCCCGGTCCCGCACTTGATTGATTTAATCGCTCATTCTCTTGTTTAGTGCTAATCGAATGTAATTCCTCAGCTCTCCTTCTTCATCTAATCCTACATTACGGGGCTGAGGTGTGGCGGCCAGGGACGCAGACCCGGATATCATTATTATATTAATACGACTGAATGTGAGGCCACACTTCATTTGTCTTCCAGGCTGGCAGATCTTTAGAAAGTGGTCAATAGCCTTTGCCGAGACCTCTTTATTGTGCAAGAGGAGAGCTCTGCTATGTTAGGGAATGAAATGACTCATAAGACAGAATATTGTCCAGATTAATCAAGAGACTGGCAGCAAACCTGCAACCGCCTCCATCCCCATGTCTCTCTCTCTGTTTATCTCTCTCCCCGTTTCTGTCTTCCACCTTCCCTCCCGAGCCTTCTCCCCATGATTGATGGCAAGGTATGGCTTCTCCATTGAGGACCATGTATTCCAGTATACATCTCCCTGTCCCACTTCACATACATGCTCATTAAAATAAACAAGCATGCTCATATAGAAAGAGAGATGGATGCTCTCTTTTTCTCTTCACGATCTGTCTTATACACACCACCTGTCAGACCCACTAAATTTGGCATAGAGCACCGGCGTGTCAGGAGCTGTCCGTGATGCTGAAAACTTGTTAAACTGTGATCAGTTATTCAGGTGTTCCACAAGAAGCGCACTTTACAGACTTGCTTTCATTTCAAAGCTTCGTGGCGTGCTTTGAAATTGCACTGTTACCTAAATGTCGACCCTGGCATGCACGCATCGTGCTTTAAAGATCAATATTGCATTTCCATTTTCTGACCTATCTGATGAGCTGAACCCCCTCACCTCATCGTCTTCCCTTTACTTGTTTGTGGCCGATAGGCTGGCATAAATTAGCCCGAGGCGTGAGGCAGACTCTTCCTTTTTGTCTGGACAGGCACTGCTCTGCATTTATTTATTCATAGCCAGTTGTTTGTGTAGCCACACCAAATGTGTGCTCAGCGTGCCCCTGACCGCACACTTCCAGGGACCAGAGTAATGTATATTTAACGTTGCGTACGCTCCCAGACAGAGTCATTTATGAGACAAAGCTTCATTAGACTGTTTTAAAGGATGGGGACATTAATACAGCCCGTGTTTGCTTGTGTTTGTTATTGCCGGATTGTTTAGGGTGCTGAATACACAAAAGAGAAATGATGGTGTATTGATTTCAGGGTCGTGGGATTAATGTCTGTTATGAGGTGCCGATGTGGTAAGTTGAAAGTTTATGCTGTCGCATGGATCAGCGGCTGAGTATTGATTGAGAAGTCTTAGGACTCGTGGCTTGCGTCTACTGTAAGAGAATAGGTGAATAGGAGTTTGAATCTTTATGTCTGGTCGCTGGCCCTGGATGTGTGAATTATGCAGTATAGGAATATTTGGATGCTGGTTATGAGCTTTATAAAAGCTGATGGGTGTGTTTTCTTCTTTATTAAAATGCATCCTCTTATTCCAGGTTAATTTGAGTTTGCCCAAACAATGGCAGATGGAGGAGTATTTACAAACAGTGGCATTAAAGTGTGAAGGGCAAGAGTGTGTCTTGCTTTAAAACGCACACGTTCACATGGATCTCAGTCCAGGACTGTGCATTAATATTCAGACACTGTTCGTTCACACGCCCTCTTGACTCGTCCAGCTTTCTACACTGATTTAGGTCATACATGCTGCAGAAGCCCCGTACAAAATAACAAATGTTGTGTACGTCCCTTCAGCCTGCTGAAAGTCAACATCTAAAACCTATAAAATGTAAAATGTTAAACTATTCTGGATATAAGTTTGTAGGTGATTTTGTGGTTTGTCCAGCTACTGCATATGGCTAGCTGCCAATGAATAATTTGATCTGGGCAGAGTAAACGTTAACTTTTGCAAACTATGTCTTATTGCTGTTTCTTGCCATTTCAGCTATTTTCTCTGCATTTTCATCATTATTTTAGGGAATAATGCCTCTAAGGTGCACATGGAGTTGTTGACATAAAACTTTAACTCTTGTAATATGTATATATTATATCTTTTTATTACAATTTTATATTTAAAAATATATATTTTTTTACAGGTGTTATGAATTTTTTAGTCATGAATGTCAAGTTTTCTCAGGGTTACTTCATTATACCTGAGCAGAATGTACATTTTTATAAAAATATGAAAATGTATTTTTAAAAACTTACTGACCTTTGCAGATATTAATGATAATTATTGTTTAATACTTGATAAGATTTACTATTTTATTAGTGCTTATTCAAAAGATTATGACAAACTTTATATGTATACTCATTTCAAAAAATTTCATCTACAATCTCCATCCAGACAATTTTTCACTTTAAGCCCTTCAGAAAATATCAAAATAGCTTTTTTTAGAAATTGATTGTTCATTATAAATAAATAAGTATTCAAGTCATTATTTGTATAAACTGCTGGTTGTATTTTGAATGACTCAATACATAAAGACAAAAAACAAAAGCAAAAACCTCAGAAACTTTCTCATGACATGAATCTTCACCGTGATCGGACGTTAAGAGTTCTCTGTTGCTCTTTTTTACAGGTTTTCTCTCAGCTTCTCACCATTATTTGTGGTTTTGGCACAAGCTCTCAGTCTCCCGCGGAGCTGCTGTGTCAGTGCTACATAAGGCCACATCAGAGTAGAGCACGTGGGACCTCCTCTAT